AGAGTCCGGTCGTGGTACTCTATCAACACGTTTGATGTGGACCGTGCGCTGCTTGAAGTCGTGGGCGTCGAGTAGCTGTATAACATCCACCGGGATTCTTCCCATGACACCGATTTGGCACTGTTGCTCCCCAAACCTATAGTCGAGATGTACGGATGCTCTGGGGATATGATGTCTGGCTTCTCCCACCAGCTTGATGGCGAATCCTGGGCCAGGTTGGATGGCTTCTGGCCAGATCACCCGGGGGTCGGCGATGGTTAAGAAGGCCCCCGTATCCTGAAAACCGGTGGTGGGTTGCCCATCCACCCGCATGACCTGCAGGTGGCACTGTTTCTGGGCGGGGTATGTAGCCTCCAGGGGGTGGACACTGTAAACCCCCCGGGAGTGGTTGTCTTCTGGGAAGATCATCCCTTCGCTGGGAGGCGGGGGGCAGTGGTTCTTCTGCGGGATGGAGCTCCAGGTAGTGGACTGGGCGGGGGAAGGAAGGTGGCTTCGGGAGGTGGGGCAGTTGGCTTGGAGGTGCCCCGGCCTTTTGCACCAGTAGCAGCGGTGGTCCATGGGGGTGCCCATGAACCGGGCTCTGGGTGGTGGTCCTGCGGAGTTGGCAGTGGTAGGTGGGGGGCCTGTTTTGGCAGAGGTGGTGGGGGGGCGGGGCCCAGCTTGGCAGCTCAGGTGCCCGCCGTTTCCAATGTGGTTTGATGGCCAGGATCTTGTCGGCCAAGGCAGCGGCCTTTGCAAGGGTGGTAGGGGCTTTCTCTCTTACCCATCCGCGCACCTCCGCCGGGCATTGGTTGTAGAATTGCTCCTTCAGAAATGCTTGGATGATTTCTTCTGCGGTGCGGGCCTGTTCCCCCTCTAGCCACCTCCGACAGGACTGTGACATCTTGTGCGCATACATCCGATAGGACGGCTCCGCATGGCAGGGCAGGGCAGGTCACGGAAGCAAGCACACCCGGTGCACTTCTGGGGTCAATGCATAATACTCCAACATAGTCTGTTTGACCCAGGTGAAATCCCGGCCATCCACATAATCCAGAGTGCGGTAGGCCGCAGCTGCACCCCCCCTTCTAGCAGACCCACAAGGTGCCGTATCCAATCCGTGCTTGGCACCTCTATGAGCTGTCACTGCTGCTCAAAGTCCTGAAAGAACCCCTCCACATCCCCGGCGGCTTCGTTGAAGGGTTTAATGTCCTTGCGGCTGACCCGGGGAGGAAGGTAATCCGCGGCCCTGGGGCTGGAAGTACAGCTTAGCTCACGGTGGCTCCCTTGGCTCTCTCTTTCATGCGCCCTCCGGTTAGCCTCTCGCTTGTCCTCTGCCATGGCGTCTGACCCCAGGAGGGCCATCTCTTCCTCCACCCGAGTAAGCCAGGGGCTCTTGGGCCCTGGGTCATGGCATGCTGGGGAGGCTGGGGTTGGCCTGCTCTCCTCCCTTGCTGGGGCATCCTGGGAATCAGCTCCCTCAATGGCTGCAATCAGATCCTCTTTGGCTAGGCCTCTCCAGGTAAGGGACAGCTGCTCAGCCCTCTCCTGCAGATATGCCACAGTCCACTTCTTGTATTATGTGGGCTGGGCCTGTTCCCGCATCCGCTGGCTTTCTCTGTCTACCATCTCCTCAGTGTCCTGATCCCACCGCTGCCAACCAGTATGACGGAAGTGGTTAATTAGCCGGGATAAGCTGCACTAGAGAGTTGAAGGTCTTCCCTATCATCAGGGCCAGCTCCAGGGAACATGTACAGCATTGCCACTCAGAAGAAAAAAAAAACAAACCATAGTGCTCTCTATTGAATTTTTAAAACCAGATTGTTTATTAAAAAGCCACTCAAAATCCAAGGAGCACCTTTGACCTTTAAAGGAACATAAACTATGCATGTCATTTCCTGACTACCTTTCACATTTGTGGAGGCATTATAGCACCAAGACAGAGGAAACACCTACAAAATTACCCCATTTTGGAAAGCAAATGTCAGGTTTCTATGGTAGTGAGCGGTAGAAAAATCCAACTCGGGGTTCCCAGTCTGCTTCTTCACACCAGGGCCCCTAATGGTGGGGATGGACTTGCAGCAAACTGGAACCGGGTATGCCCAGCTGATGAAGCAAAGTCCACTCGCATTTGCAAAGTACAGATGGAAGGAAACAGAAGAGGATCCAAAGAGACATGCTGAACTCAAGAAAATGGTAGACAAAGCTGGGGTTTGGTACAGGGGAAGTCAGGCACAGAATACAAGTGTATATAAGAAGCAAAGAGAGGGCACACGGGCCTAGTGCATTACCTTTAAAAATTAGATTTATTATAAATAGTAAAATACTCACAAGAGAAATAAAATCAAATGGAAAGTATGTCGCAAAGGATGGAATGAGGTCCAAAACCCCTGGAAGTGGTCTGGTGGGGGACTGTAGACCTCTAGATAGCTGGTGGCTGATGTGTTTCGAGTTGTACCTCTTCTTCAGAGCCAGTGGACACTAGGTAAATGCACTAGGGCCGTGCGCCCTCTCTTTGTTTCTTATATACAGTTCTCTTTGGATTCTCCTGGTCCATTGAGGGCAGCAAGGCTTGCATTCCTTTCAGACTCATGTGGGGATTTTGACATTGTGGAGTCCACTGTCCAGCGCAGGAGTATATGCATTCAGCTGCATTATTCTTCTTCCTTACAGAATACAACCCCCTGCGATTCTGCAAGTTCTCCCACTTAGAAATCACGGAGGGGTCTGAAATTCACATTGTAGGTGCATTCCCACTCTGAGAGACAGAATTTAAAAAAAAATTCAGGAAATCACATTGTATGATTTGTAAAGAATGTATTTGTCTTGCACTGCTGCTGAACAGAAGAATTTGAACATCTAAGAAACAGCAAGAATTCTGGCTCTCAAAGACCTGTTACTGTGCCTTTAAAAAGTCCACCTCTACTCCACTCATTAATCTAACTTAGTAGCACCTGTCTGAGCTCTTTAAAGACACCTGTCCACCCCACAGTCAGTCAGGCGCCAACTACTACCATGGGCAAGACCAAAGAGCTGTCAAAAGACACCAGAGACAAAATTGTGGACCTCCACAAGGCTGGAAAGGGCTACGGGGCAATTGCCAAGCAGCTTGGTGAAAATAGATCAACTGTTGGAGCAATTGTTAGAAAATGGAAGAGGCTAAAGACGACTGTCAATCTCCCTCGGACTGGGGCTCCATGCAAGATCTCACCTCGTGGGGTATCACTGATGATAAGAAAGGTGAGGAATCAGCCCAGAACTACAAGGGAGGAGCTGGTCAATGACATGAAGAAAGCTGGACCACAGTGTCAAAGGTCACTGTCGGTAGAACACTACGCCGTCATGGTTTCCAATCATGCATTGCACGGAAGGTTCCCCTGCACCAGTCATCACATGTCCAGGCCCGTCTGAAGGTTGCCAATGACCATCTGGATGATCCAGAGGAGGCATGGGAGAAAGTCATGTGGTCAGATGAGACCAAAGTAGAACTTTTTGGTCTAAACTTCACTTGTCGTGTTTGGGGGAAAAAGAAGGATGAGTTGCATCCCAAGAACACCATCCCTACTGTGAAGCATGGGGGTGGTAACATCATGCTTTGGGGGTGCTTTTCTGCGAAGGGGACAGGACGACTGTACTGTATTAAGGAGAGGATGAATGGGGCCATTTTTTGTGAGATTTTCAGCAACAACCTCCTCCTTCCCTCAGTCAGAGCATTGAAGATGGGTCGTGGCTGGGTCTTCCAACATGACAACGACCCAAATCACACAGCCAGGAGAACCAAGGAGTGGGTCCGTAAGAAGCATATCAGGGTTCTGGAGTGGCCTAGCCAGTCTCCACACCTAAATCCAATAGAACATCTTTGGAGGGAGCTGAAACTCCATGTTGCTCAGCGACAGCCCCGAAACCTGACAGATCTAGAGCAGATCGGTGTGGAGGAGGGGCCAAAATCCCTGTTGCAGTGCAAACCTGGCCAAGGACTACAGGAAACGTCTGACCTCTGTAATTGCAGACAAAGACTTCTGTACCAAATACTAACACGGATCTTCTCAGGGGTTCAAATACTTCTGTTCAGCCGTGCGAGACAAATACATTCTTTACAAATCATACAATGTGATTTCCTGAATTCTGTCACTCAGAGTGGGAATGTCCTGCAATGTGAATGTCAGACCCCTCCATGATTTCTAAGTGGGGGAACTTGCAAAATCGCAGGGGGTTCAAATACTTCTGTTCCTTACTGTACAAGTGATACAAGGAAAACCAGAATCACAGAGAAACTAGGAAGTCGCTCAGGCAATGCCAGCTGCACTGAGCATGCCTATATACAGGGGGAAGCAGACTGTGGATCAGGACAGGAAGTGATAGAAGGGAAGGGGATATAAATCCACAGTAGAGCAGGCGATGCCCATAGGTGAACACAGAAGACAGCAGCGCATGTGAATGAAATCGCAGGTTCAGCAGAACCACTGGAGCAAGGAGGTAAGAATGTCACAAACCGGAAACTACAGGCTAGACCGTGACAGCGACAGTCCTGTGAAAAAGTATTTGCTGCCTTTCTGATTTTTTTTAACATATTTGTCACACTTAAGTTATTCAGATTATCAAAAAAATTTTAATATTACACAAAGATAACCCGAGTAAATACAAAATGCAGTGTTTTAAATTATGATTTCATTTATTAAGGAAAAAAAGCCATCCAAACCCACCTGACCCTATGTAAAAAAAAGTAATTGCCCCCTCCATGTTAAATCATGAATGTACTGTGATTAACCACATTTTGGGAAAGCTGAGTTACATTTGCCACACCAAGGCCTGATTACTGCCAGACCTGTTGAATCAAGAAATCACTTAAATAGACACTGTGTCAGGAATGGTCTGGCCAGTAATGGTGGGACTCACCCGCCTTGTGGGCTGCAGTACCAGGGCTGGCCAGCGGTGCTCCCAGCAATCAGAGACTCAACCCTGCAGCCAGCCAAACACCTGAAACTGCTTATGCAGGTTTATTTAAGTGATGGCCAGACCTGCAGTCTGGGCCTTGGTGTGTGTGTTTGTCGCTGCTGGTTTTTGATGACAGAGAATATGCTTATCAGGCTCTGAGGGAGTATCCCCGGGATCAACTGCTAGAATGTATACGGATCGCTCATGTTCTAGTAGATCAGGGCACAGAGTTCTCTGAGGTGCAGCCTTTGATTCAGGTTTGTGTAGAGTTGGCTTCATCTGGTACCCCTGAAAGCAGGGATGACTTTTTGCCACCATTTAGTGCAGACCAGGTAGAGTCCCTGGTGTGGTTATTAGAGGATGATGTGGATTGCTTCTTGGAGCATTATGCTGCATGTTCACCACAGGTACTAAGGGATTGTATAAACGCAGTGCAGTCTTTGGTCAGACAGGCTTTGTGTAAGCTCAGCTTTGTTCAACCCATACTGCAGACATGGACAGACTTGTTGCACCCAGCCTCAGTCAGCTTACAAAAACCCAGTCCTGCTTCTAATCTATTTCCTCAAAGCTCTATTCCTGCATTCCCAACAGCACCTCCAGTTACAGCCCAGTATACCCTGCTATCTACCGCATGTCAGTACCCTGTTCCCACTCGCTGCACCTATCCTGCCTTTAACCCTGTAAAGAAGCCCTCTGTAGCAACTGTTCCCTCCCCTGTTCCATCCTCCAGCTCTTCTCTGTCTCCAGCTGCTCCATCCGTTTGCAGACCTGCGTTTACTTACAGTGCTCCAGTAGTTAAAAACCAGAAAAAAGCGAAAATTCTTTCCAACCAATACCATCCTGCCAGTATCCAAACTGGTGAGCCTGCCGTCTGAGAACCTCGAGCCAGACGATCCAATGCCTGATGACCCAGTGCCCGCGGTCATGCCTGGTGATCCGTACCCGCTGTGCCTGACGATCCGCCAGATGAACCGGTGATGCCGAGCCTGATGAACCGGTGACCCAGCCTGATGATGACCCGGTGCCCGCTGTTGTGCCAATTGACTCAGAGCCCACTGCCGTGCCTGGTGACTTGGTGCCCACTGCCTTGCCAGATGACGCGGTGCCCGTTGTCGAGCCAAATGATCTGATGCCTGGTGACCCGTGCCCGCTGTCCAGCCAGACGATCCAATGGTCTGACCCAGTGCCCGCTGTCATGCCAGTTGCGCTCCTGATGCCCCACTGCCGTGCCTGGTGACTCGGTGCCTGTCGCTCTGCCTGGGGGCCCGAGACCTGTCCTCCGCCAGGGGACCGGTGCCCGCTGTCGCTCCAGACGATCCGGTACCTGATGACCCGGTCCGCCCCGCTGCTCTGCCTGGGGGCCCGAGACCTGACGTCGTGCCTGGGGGCCCGAAACCTGTCCTCCGTCTGGGGGTCCGGCGCCCGCCGATGACGCGGGGACCGCTGGCCTGCCAAATGACCTGGGGCCTGGTGACCCAGCCCGCTGTCATACCTGGTGACCTGATGCCCGCTGTCGAGCCAGACAATCCAATGCCTGATGACCTGTGCCCGCCCGGGGGTCGCCTGGGGGCCCCGATGCCCCGCCTGTCGGGGCCAGACGATCCAATGCCTGATGACCCAGTGCCCGCCCCGCTCCGCCTGGGGGCCCGATGCCCGCTGTCGCCCCTCCTGGGGGCCAGCGCCCGCCGCTGACCCGCCTGGGGGCCCGATGCTGTCGAGCCATGCCTGGGGGCCCAATGCCCGCCGCCCCGCCTGGGGGGCCAATGCCTGTCCCACTGCCCCCGCCTGGGGGCCCAATGCCTGTCCAGATCCGCCGGGGTGCCCGGCGCCCAAATGATCTGATGCCTGGTGGCCCAGGGCCCGCCACTCCGCCTGCTGGCCCGGGGCCCCCACTCCGCCTGCTGACCCAGGCCCGTGCTGCTGCCACCTGGTGATTCGGAGTCCAGTCCGATGTGCCTCTGCCCGGAGTCCAGCCCGATGTGCCGCTGCCCGGAGTCCAGCCCGATGTGCTCCTGCCCGGAGTCCTGCCCGATGTGCCTCTGCCCGGAGTGGCCCGGGCCTCCGGCGGAGTGCCACTGCCCGATGCCTCTGCCTCTGCCCGGGGTGCCCTGACCGATGTGACTGCTGCCGCTGCCTGGGGCCCGAAACCTGTCGCTGCCTCTGCCCGGTGTGCCCGCGCCCGCCTCTGCCCGGTGGGGGTCCGAGCTGTCCTCCGCCTGGGGTGCCTCTGCCCGCCGCTGTGCCGCTGCCCGGGCCCGATGTGTCGCCCCTCCTGGGGGCCCAGTGCCCTCCCGCCTGGGGACCCGATGCCTGTGCCGCTGCCCGATGTGCCTCTGTCCGGTGTGCCGCTGCCCGGAGTCCTGCCCGGTGTGCCAGTCTTTGATATCCCGCCAGTTACCAGACCCGGGCGGGGAACATGTTGCCCAGCTAGGACTGTTTGGAGCGTCCTGAGGCCGCTCCTTGAGGGGGGGGGTACTGTCAGGAATGGTCTGGCCAGTAATGGTGGGACTCACCTGCCTTGTGGGCTGCAGTACCAGGGCTGGCCAGCGGGTGCTCCCAGCAATCAGAGACTCAACCCTGCAGCCAGCCAAACACCTGAAACTGCTTATGCAGGTGTATTTAAGTGATGGCCAGACCTGCAGTCTGGGCCTTGGTGTGTGTGTTTTTCCCCTGTATGGGTGTTCTGTGTGCTGCCCGTTCCTGTCCTGACCCTGCTGATCCTGACCTCTGCTGACTTCTCCTGTTCTGATCCCTGGCTTGTGACCCCGACCATTGTCTGCCTGACCCCCCTGTACCTACCTGCCTGTTAGTTGCTGTACCCGGCTCGTGACCTGACTACTCTCTGCCTGCTCCCTCCTGTTCCTACCTGCCTGATTGTTATTGACCCGGCCTGCCTGACGACGCTTGCATTGTATGTATTGTTATCTGTGGGTGGTTTGGTTCGTTCGTTTGCACTGTGTTATGTTTTAGTATTGCACTGCATTTATGTTTGTATTGTTAGTCTTTAATAAATTATATTGTTTATAACATATCTGAAGTCTGCGTTTCCCTGCGTCAGTCACATACCTCTGGTCACACCCTGGAGCCCTGACACACTGTCTGACAAAGTGAAGCATGCTAAAAGATCTCAAAAAGCAAAACATCAAGTCATGATCCATGATTAAATAACAGACATGGTCAGAATAGTACCAGTTGTACAACTCCCGATCTGCACAGGACAATGTCTTTTGGCACACTGACAATGTCTTTTGGCACCTTTATATGAGTAGACAATGGAATCACCTCCTCACACAATGACGGGCATCGGGATCCCCGTTCCTCACAGGAAAAATGGGAGCAGACTCAGTGGAATAGTATAAAATGGTATACAGAATTTATTATACAGCTTACATAGTAAAAATGCCGTCCATCCTCGCTGATCTCCGTTCTGTGCTGAGACCTTCTCCAAAATGGCCGCTCTGCTCCTTCTGGCCTAGCGTCTGACGTCACGACCCTGACGCGTTTCGTCACTTCCGACTTTTTCACAAGATCCCTTTTGTCCTGTGAGGAACGGGGATCCCGATGCCCGTCATTGTGTGAGGAGGTGATTCCATTGTCTACTCATATAAAGGATAGCATACTCCCAGTGAAGGCAACTGTATGTGGTACAAAGGATTTCCAGTATGCTTTGAAAGTTTAAGGGGGTAATTGTATATTATCCTATATGCGGAGTGGCACGTATTTGGCACCATTTTGTCACTGATCACAAATTGTGTTTTTGTAGAGTGTCACGCATTGCAGTGGTGGTTTCACAGGACCACTAGTCAAGTGGTGTGCTGTTTTTCACTTCACATGTGTGATGTTTATTTATGTCACCAGTGTGGTTGCATGCTATCACGTATATGATTTTTTAAAAGATAATGCACTATATCTAGTATATTTTTTTTGAGGTACTTTTGGATTGAAGGGAAGATTTGGACATTGTCACAGCTGGAAGATTGAAGAAGCGAGGATCATTATTTGCACATTTTAATTTATATTTTTTTTTTATTTATTTTTATTTATTTATAATTTTAATTTATTTTTGGGACTTTTTTGTGGGGGACTTTTTGATGGACATTATGTTAGCAGTATGAGACTACGGGATAGGGTGTATATGTTTGTAGAATATGAAAAGGTAGTTGGTGTTAATGAATCAAAACCTCATGCTCTATTCTATTCGACTATTTTCTATTCTGTTTCATTATTTTATTTTCTGTTCTATTCTGTTCTGTTTTCCTCCATTCTTTTCTATTCAGTTTGCCTTTACTCCTGTGTTCAAATTCAATTTTGTATTCGGATTAAAATTTCAGACAAAATTTTGAATTGTTGTTTCGGATTCATTTAAATTCATTACTATTGTAGTTCAGAAATTTGGATACATCTGAATCTCTGAATAATGATTAATTGATCTGAATTTTGATTCGCAACAAAAACAAACCACACCTGTCTGTAATGTGAAGTAAGCAATAATCAGGAGCATGTCATGTTCAGCCCAGTGTAGGGAGTGCTGTGGTCAGAAGCAGGAAAAACACCAAAGAATGTATATAAGTACGGGTGTACCTCGGATTACCAACGCCTCGGTTACTGTAATTTTCGGTTTACGAATGAAAATAACTCCTCGGTGTACAAATTTTTTATGGATTTTTTAACAATACGAAGTGTATGTCGGTGCCGATTTTTAAATACAATTGCTGTCACTTTCCCCGGAGTTACAGGAAACATTGTTTCTTTTAACTCAGAGAAACAAACTAGAAGGAAACTTTGTTTCTTTTAGCTGGGGGGGAAGTGACAGCTGAATCTCTGAGCTATAGTGAAGGGAAAAAAAAGCAGTAATTACATTTAAAAACCGGCACTGACCTATAGTGACATCAACTTTTTTTCTACTTTTTTCTGACCTCCGGAACAGATTAATTGGTTTTCCCTGCATTCCTATGGGAACCACATTTCGGTTTACAAATTTTTTGCAAAATTCGTAAACCGAGGTACACCTGAATGTAACATACAATAGTAGTGGTGATGTACTGTGCAAATGTGCTCACCCTTGTACCTCCTCCAACACTCTCAACACTGGAACCCTCACCTCTGCACCCTTCCAACGAACCCTAATTCCACACTGCTCCCCCTGCAATCCTCTTCCAACGCTTCTCACCTCTGCACCCCATGGAACCCTAAACCCTAATTCCACACTCCCCCCTGCAATCCTCTTCCACACTTCTCACCTCTCCCCCCTGGAACCCTAATTCCACACTGCTCCCCCTGCAATCCTCTTCCAACGCTTCTCACCTCTGCACCCCATGGAACCCTAATTCCACACTGCTCCCCCTGCAATCCTCTTCCACGCTTCTCACCTCTGCACCCCATGGAACCCTAATTCCACACTGCTCCCCCTGCAATCCTCTGCTGTGTCATTTATGCGATCTGCAGTTGCCTATCAAATTAATTTTTTTTAATGGTTTTCTAAGAAGTGCTAAGCCTAGCTCGCATGATCAGAAAATCGTACGGAAATTCCCTCTTTTCAAGCGATCGTACGATAATCTGATCGTCCGTACACAGCTATATGAAGGGATGAAATGTGTCTCATATGATATCAGATCATAAGATTTAATCAGTACAGTGTTTATCTGATAATACAATACAAATACATGACATCACTCCCGAATGTTCTTTCTGTTGTACAAGAATGTTCGTAACGTTGGCAGCCTCTTCACTTTCGATATGAGACTAGGACGCAACCCCCCCAAAAAAAACAGATGATCATTTGTCCAATATTCTCATTGTGTATACGGGGCTTTAGTTTTGTGGGCTGTGACCAAACTGTACTCTCAGAAGTAACCATTTTCCATTTAAAACCTCTCATTATCTGGCAGTGTTGACGTTGAAGAGTACAAAAGCATCTTGGCGATGATTACTGCTGTCGATGAGATAAACCAGAACCCCGATCTCCTGCCCAATGTCACCCTGGGCTATCATATATTTAATACTTGTAATGATCCAATGAAAACTTTGGGATATGCCATAAAGATATTGTCTGGAGAGAAGGAAGCTCCCAACTATTACTGTAAGGGAGACGGAGAAGTGGCCGGTTTTATTGGTGAGAGCTCTTTCTTTACGAATAATGCGATGGCCCAATTGCTCAGTGTGTATCGGTATACACAGGTAAGTGATCACTTCTATATATTATGTATGTGTAGCGCTACAACAACATGGATGGGGTCTAGGGGTATGTGGGATGCCCAAGGAACTGTAGAACTTGAGGACAACTTTTTAGCACACACTGTACAAAATGTGGAACAAACATCAGCAACAGCTAATTTAAGGAGCACCGAGTCCCCTTCGTTGTATCTCCTGAGACCCCAGATGAATCCTTCCTCTTGCACCCGGCTGTCCTGAGGGTATCTCTTGGCAAGGCATTCTAAGATCTGTAGTCCCAGATGAGAAGTTGGGTGTTGCACCTTGTAACGGAACCGGAACCCAGACCGCACTGAGTTTTTCCGTTATAGCACAACTTCCCCTGTCCGAACACCATCCACGGACCACACCCTCGAAATCCCTCAGGAAAAAAGACAACACCCAGCTCTTACTAAAACAGGAAGCCAACAACCTTTATTTTACACAAAACAACATGTTTTATACAGAGGGCGGGGAAACACAACCAGGAACAGGAAATACATCATCAGCCCACCCTCTCAGTGGGAAGGGCTACAGTATAGGCAGGAAACACCTCATCACCCCTCCCCATCCAACCAGACACAGAACAATGGGATGCAACCATGTGGCAAAGGACATTGACCAACCCCCACACCAATACACAAACAGTACATCCCATAATAGTTCGCTGGACAGGAAGACACAGCACAATGGGGGGTAGCACATGGTAAACAGACAATGGACAGCCATGTGGCCTAGACA